CTTGCTGTCTGTCCGGCGAGCAAATGCCCCCTATAGCAAAAACCTTTCCAAAAAAAAAAAAAAATGCTGCATGAAAATGGAAGCACTAGCTTAGATTTTAAGATTTTTTTCCTTCCAAATAATTTATTGAGGTACAATTTATGTAACATAAAATTACTCATTTCAAAGTGGACAGTTCAGTGGCCTTTAGCATATCCACAATGTTGCACAACCACCACCTATATCTAGTTCCAAAATATTTTCATCACTCCAAAGTAAAACCTCTTATCCAATAGGCATTTTCACCCTATTCAAATGCCTCTTCCCCCAGCCCCTGGCAACCACCAATCTATATTCTGTTTCTATGAATTTATCTGTTCTGGACATTTTATATAAAAGGACTCATATATGTGACCTTTTGTGTCTGGCTTCATCCATGTTGTAGCATGTATTAGTACTTCATTCCTTTTTATTGTTGAATATTATCACACTGTATGAATATGCCATGTTGTATTTATCCATTCCTCAATTGATAGAAATTTGGAGTATTTTCTCTTTTTGAATATTCTAAACAATGTTGCTATGAATATCTATGCACAAGTTATTATATGAACATGTTTTTAGTTCTCTTGGTTATATACCTAGGTGTGGAACTGCAGGGTCATGTGGCAGCTCTATGTTTGAGAAACTTCCATGCTGTTTCCTAAGTGGCTGCACCTTTCTCCTTTCCTGCTAGCAATGTATGAGGGTTCTGATTTTTCCATATTCTTGGCAACACTTGCTATTGTCTGTCCATTTAATTATAGCTGTTCTAGAGGGTATGAAGTGGTATCTCCTTGTTATTCTTATTTGTATTTCCCTAATGACTAATATCACTGAACATTAAAGAAACATTTGTATATTTTCTTTGGAGAAATGTCTATTAGGATTAATCACCATTTTTAGTTTGTTTGTGTAATCTAGTTCATTTGTTTTAATTTGTTTTTACATATTTTAGGTTCAAGTTCCTCATAAAATCTATGATTTGCAAGTATTTTTCCCCATTCAGTTTTTGTTTTCATACTTTCTTGATGATTTTTGAAACTTGAAAGTTTTTTAATTTTGATGAAGTCCAATTTTTTTCTTTGGCTGCTTGAATTGTTGGTGTTCATTCAGATAAAAACAAAAACTCAGTGTCCATTTTTAGTACTGTTCACTTACAATACACATCACTTCTGTGGCCCCAAAATATTGGGTTGTCAGAAAAATCATGACATATTTTTGCATAGGAAAACAGAAAAAAATGCATCATGACTTTTCCAACAACCCAGTATATGAAGATTTCTTCCCACCATCAATCGAGCAAGCAATTCTGCAGCAGACATCAACTGGGCATCTTTGAATCCAATTCAGTTCTGACACTGTCTACCTAGATATAACATTAGATACCAGATCCCACAGGTTGAGGGCCTAGTCCCCAAGACTACTCTATTTCAGACACCAGTCTTAAGTTTGGGCCTCTAGAACTTCTGACTGAGCAGCTACAAATTGGAGTTCCTATGTCCCTCTCCCGCTTTAAGCTAAGTTAATTTACTTGAGTAGCTCACAGAGCTCAGGGAAACAGTTAAGTTCACCAGTCTATTATAAAGGATTTTAAAAAATAATTATTTAACTTTATTTATCATTATTCATTTTTAAAAATTTGCTACAGAGCATGTCAGCTCACTAGAGAGAGACCAGAGAGAAAGTAAGAAAGCAAACCACCAGGTCTGGGACTCAAACCATAATTGGCTATGTGGGAGTCCAGCGCCTTAACCACCATGCCACCTGCTGGCCCCTATAAAGGATATTTTAAAGATTAGAAATAAACAGACAGATGAAGAAATACATAAGGTGAAAGGATCCTAAGTGCAGGAACTTCTGTCCCTGTGGAGCTGGGGCATATCACTCTCCTGGTATGTGGATGAGTTCTTGTCACCTTCCTGTAAGCCTCATAAGTGCAGCTGTCCAGAAACTCTCTAAACCCTGTCCTTTTGGGTTTTGATAGAGACTTTATTGCATAGGCATGGGTGAAGCATGGACAACAGGGTAGAAATGTGATTGAACACAAAGGGTATTATCTAATGCTAACAGACTGAGTAGGGAAACCCAGCAAGGCTTGTCTTTCAGATTCTCCTTGGCTTCTCTATATAGCATTCCTTCCTTCTGGGTATGGGGTAAGACTCCTCTGGAACAAGGGTCTTAATTTCTTTTTTTTTTTTTATCTTTTTTCTTATTTTTTAAATTAATTTACATTTATTCACTGAGCTTTGTCACAGCATACAAAATGTAATTTCCCATCCAGAAGATGCTGCATAGTAGCTTAATCATACATGTTATCGTCAATAATTTTCCATTTCTAGTTTCATATATATATATGTGTGTGTGTGTGTGTGTGTGTGTGTGTGTATTTTCCCCCTATTTCTCACTCTCTGCCATTTCCCACTCTCCTCCCACACTATCTCTGGTGTCTAAAGTTGTTTTCTATACCTTTCCCCCCCCAACATTTTCTTGATTCACAAAATTTCTTAGATAATCAAACTACTTTCAATAGCAAGTTCAGCTGGTATATACATGTCTCTGAATACATGTCTGACTTTAGGCATGAAACTCTGAGTAGAATGAATACACTATAAGGAAGCACCTAGCAGATGCTATATAGCTTACTATGGTCATTAAATAGGTATTTTTAAATACATTTTTTAATTTCAAGAAAAGCAGTTTTAACTTGGACAAATCAAAGAAATGCTAAAGAAGTTTGCTTGAAACTTACAGCCAGAAAACAGAATTCTTTCTGTTCAAATAGTAGACACATGAACCTATCGTCAGCTCAAGAAAAAAAAAAATCCTTAAAACCAGACAACAAAGCCTAGAAGAAAAGAAGAAAAATTTTAGTCAAATATTATTTCTATGTGACTGTATTTAATTTTCCTGGTATAGTACTCCCTGCAGAATTTCTTGGAGATCTGGTCTGGTGTTGGTAAATTCTTTCAGGTTTTGCTTATCTGAGAAAGTTCTTGTCTTTTCTTCCCATATGAAGGATAATCTTGCCGAGTACAGTATTCTTGGTTGCAGTTACTTTTCCCTTAACACTTTGAATATATTTTCAGCAAGGGTCTTAATTTCTTT